GAACTAGTAACTTTAAGCAACTATAGTAACTATATACAATAGTATATAGTATCTATAAATGACTATTTTTTCTCTTCAGTATAGTTATGGATAAAACATGTTAATTCTTATGGTTTACCCCACCCCCCCACCCCCTTATTGTCCCGCTATCCCTTGTAGATTTCGACCTCCACTTTAAGAACCACTGTTTATTTCCTGTGTTTTCTTCTTTTTGACGTCTGTGCATGTGCAAAAGTCATGTATTGTGTGTGCAAACTAATGTTTGTGTCTACTTCATGCAATATTACTTACACTGCATTGCAATCTCGATTTAAAGATCACATTTGCACAAATAATGGGCCATCCTTATTGTCGAACCCTGCTTTAGGAAGACTACAACCCGCCAAAGCTGAAATCTACCTGCATTTAGCATTTAATACAGAAACCTTGAATGCAATGGCGCACACACACCAACAGACCCAAGCCTATTCTTCGTTTTTTTTTTTGTGTGTGTATTTCAGTGTTGTAAATGTGCCAGATTGTTTAACCTGGTGTTATAAAATCAATCTGCTGCATCTGACGCTATTGCTGTGTCTTTAATATAATGTAATCACCCCAGGGTTCGCAATCATTAGAACTAGTAACTTTAAGCACCTATAGTAACTATATACAATAGTATATACCAGTGGTCACCAAACTTGTTCCTGGAGGGCCAGTGTCCTGCAGATTTTTGTTCCAACCCTAATGAAACACACCTGAACAAGCTAATCAAGGTCTTACTTGGTATACTTGAAACATCCAGGCAGGTGCGTTGAGGCAAGTTGGAGCTAAACCCTGCAGGGACACCGGCCCTCCAGGACCGAGATTGGTGACCCCTGGTATATACAGTGTTTCAACGCTAAGGATTTTTTCTACTCGCCCGATTGGGCCAGCGGTTTGGATTTTTACTTGCCCTGCAAATATTTTTACTGGCCCACCAAAAAAAAAGTAAAAGTTAATAGCTATTTCTTAGCCACATGTTTTAAATATTGTCAAAAATGTGTTTCATTCTAACCAGAATTTAAATATTTTAAAAATGTTAATTATTGTATAATGAGCAAATCGTCGTGCTGTACCCACATAAATGTCTGCTTCCAAGACATTCTTTTAAGCCTCATAATGTGATGTTGCCGTCACTTTGCTGTACTGGTTTTAACCAGGTTACAATAAACAACATGCTCACAACATCCAATCAGATAAGAGTAACCGAAATAATAAGGTAGCATTTAAAGGCTTAAAAGCACAAACTGTTTCTCGATTCTAAGACTGTATTCCTACGCAATTGACAAATAGTCGCAGGCAAATTTAACATTTTGTGACAAGGCAGCACAGATCGGGTCAGTAACAATCCTGTCTACTGTCATCGGGCAGTCCTTATTGTTGAGCCCTGATATAGTAAATATAGATGACTATTTTTCCTCTTCGGTAGGTTATGGATATATGGTAATTCTTAAGTTTAAAAATAAATAAATAGATTTTAAAAAATGACTAAACCCCCAATACCCCCCCCCCTCTCTTTGTTGTCCCACGACCCCTCGGGGGGTCCCGACCTCCCCTTTGAGAACCATTGCTGTTTTTTTCTTTTTGACATCTGTGCATGTGCAAAAGTCATGTATTGTGTGTGCAAACTACTGTATGTGTCTACTTCATGCAATATTACTTACACTGCATTGCAGTCATGTGGTTTCATTAGGTCTCATGTTTAATTCAGCAGTCGTCTTTTCATTAATCATAAGAGAAATTGCATTTTGGATGCAAAGATATTGCATTCATCGAGTGCACTGCATATAGTATCACACACCGTGTTTTCTGTTGTGCACTGCATTTATTTTCCATCCAGATTTTCTATGCATATAAAAACCTTACCTAATGTTCACATTATACACACTGTATAGCTCAGGAATAGTAATATGCCATTCTGCATTCTCTCACTCTCACATATGCCCATGCGTTCTCCTTCACACATACACACTAGGCGTTTTCCTTCCCTCTCACTTTCT